GACTGTGACAATCACGATTACATCCTGAGACGTGCCCATCATTGGGTCACATGTCCAGAGATAAATCAGCCCGATTCCAAACACTTCTCAGAACAATTCAATGAGTCCCTCTAAAAATAGTCCCAGATTTAGTCGATATTCCCAGAAATTGTGACAAATGCACTGAACAATTATCGCTGAAGTGCATAATGAACCCGACCCATGGCGAAACCCTTGGACATTCGCATCGAATATCTTTTTTTTCTGTCACTCAATTACATTTGACGGACAATATACCCCGGGTAAATATAAATCGCAGTTGATCACAGTTACCGCAGTGTATCGATTAATTCTCAGAGTCAGTCGCTGGTCAAGGCGAGGGTTATATACTTGTACAATGTACATATGTGCATTTCGTTGTGTCTCACCTTGCCCTTCGGCATTCTGCCCACCCATACAATCGATTAATCCCCGCCGAATGTTTTTGAAACAACTTGGGGGGATATGTCATGCGAGAATATGATGCGTAATTAATCATAACGCGTCTCATGGGTCAGTGATCCAACAATTGAGTTCATTTCATTTAATAAAATCAAAATTGAAAAAATCACTGAATTAATCCGTCATCAATCATTCAGCATTTTTGCCCATTAATTCACCATCTCGGATTTAATCTCCCTATTTTTTAACTCTGGATGACTCCATATTTTTGTAAATTGCCATCACAAGTACAACGTCACTTTATTTCACCTGAGAATTATTTTAAACTGAGTTAGGAGATTAAATTTTTCGCTTGGTAGATGTGTTTTTATTACTTCTCCATTGTTTTAGCGGAGGAGAAATCACCATGCAAATGTGCACGTATGATTTTGGGTTCATATGGCAGGCCAAAACTCGTCTGTAAGGCCTTTGTTGGCAATCTGTATGTTTCATTTTTTTTCATCATTTCGGAGTTGTTTTCTCCTCTGGTGCGTTTTATTATTATATTTTTAGGACTGAGTGTTTAGCCTACGTCGGCACGCCCTAGGCCTCTCCTGAGACTGACAGACTGAATTTCGAGGGCAAATTTATTCTAATTCAACTGCTTTTTCTCCTCTCCAACGAGATACCTGATGCATTTATTTATTAATTTTTTTTATCTCCTCGCTGTTCACAAAATTATTTAATATTTGTGATAACCTGTTATTGTCGAGCAACAAAGTATTAAAGTCGTCTGTAATAACTTCCCCTACCGCAGCAATTACGGTTAATTACTCTCAAAATGTATGGCATGTAAATGACGGGCACCGAAGAGTAATGCGTAATACTAAAAATTGTCAGTGTAATCGACAGGTAGGGCATTGAAATATTTATTCCCGTGTCCTCGATTTCACCTCTTCTTCACTCTGTAAAATTCCTCGAAGGTCGGCCTTATATCATTCCCCCGGCAACACCCTGCACTTTTCATCGACACGAATGCACATCAATCCTCGACTGGCTCCAATTTTTTCGCATCGTTTCTCACCTAAAAAAAAAAAATAAATAACAAAACCGGTATACGTGACTAATTATTACGCGTACCTGTCGAAATTTCGCTTTGCACTTCGTTATACCTGAGATGTTACCTTCTTTCAATAATACGTAACTATATGTACAAGCGGGGTAATTTTTCACGTGATAAATTTCAACCCTCAATTTCCATCCACGATCCATTTCCAGAGACGAATAATCAATTAAAACCACCACTCGGAGATATTACTTTGGATTTTTTAATTACAAAAAATGTAAAAATTACGATGAAGCTTTGTAGAAGAGTATTTATCTTTTGTCGGATAATTCTCCTGGCAGCATGACTTGTCACGTAACTTTTTCCAACTTTTATCCATCTGTAAAAGAATTGTGAAGTACAACGGAGACTTTTCCATTACGGGTTTGACATCAAAGTGCACCAGGAGACAGCTTCACAGAGTCGTTGGGTGTCAAGTTAAATTAGACACATGAAGGGACAAAAATCTGCACACGATACCAAGACAGAAGAGAAATTGACAAAGAACGAGTTAAATTCTCCGGAAGAAAAAAGAAAAAAATTTCCCATTCTCTGCGACATTTATCATGCACCTCTCATATCCTCATATAAATGAACCCACATTGAGGTCGACGACACCTCGAGTTTCCACATAAAACAACAGAAAAAACATCTCCGAGGAGATGTACACCGAAGGTGCGATGAGGTGTTTAAACTTGGATCTTTTTTTTATCTCCTCATTGGGGTTTGTGTATGGCTTTGCACGACGTCCGTGTCAATGCTTTGAGTAAATACACGGATTGTGTCGAGTTAAGTGTCCCTTCTATCTCCGGAATTCGGGTATACAGCACCTTTGGACGTTACCTGGCAGAGAAACTGATAAAAAAAAGGCATTTGAGGGATTGAACTGGCGGTGAAAACAGCTCATCGTCTATTTATTCTTCCGCAGCATTCAAATGACGTTGGAATTTTTCCAAAAAATTAAGGGAAAAGAGAAACCCGGTGAATTAATTCATGAGAATATGCACCGGGGACGACACAATTGACGCCTCCTCGTTCAATGGTAATCCCCGTTCTCATTAGCATTTCATACTGGTGCACCACTATAATTTTTTATTTTCTCGTCACGCGTCCCAACCCCTTCCTGTGCATTTTGTGACACATCCTGTCGAGGAGAAGTCTTCCTTTTATCCGAGGGAGTATCATCAGGGCCATTCTCGTCCGATCGCATTATTTGCTAGACCCTCACTCGATCGGTATCGATTAATTGAACGGAAATTTTGCGGTGATTGTTCGCCTCGTCGTCAAGCGAACCCCTACAATTTGTTCTCTAATTGACAGCCACCCCAGAATAGATCGACGCTTGAATCAACGGCATTAATTCCACATCTTATTGCTTTTTTTTTTATTATTTTTCATACGTTGCTGGATCTGTGATAAGATTTATGCAACAAGTAGCTCGTCATGTAATCAAGCCCCGGTTGGAGCCGGGTTTTCGCCCGATTATGTTCACTCACTGCGGTATCCACCTACGCAACAGCAGTTCGACGTATCTCCAGGTAGACTTCTTCGTTGGTTTATTTATCCCACTTTCCTTGTGGTTCGTTGGTGTAGGTGGAGGTATTTCCGATGCATAAGACTGAAAAAGATAAAAGAAGGAATTAATCCGACGTACATTTTTTATTTCGACTAACTCGCGAACGGTAGAGTCAAATTCATCATTTTTTTTTTTAATTCCAAGGTATTAATTCAAGCTTTAAAGCAAAATGTGATGGGTGTAAATTAGATCGTTGGATTTAGGGAGATCGGCGGATATAAATATGAAAGTGTTAAAAGGGGATTTTTGATGTTTCGTCTTGGCGTCGAGAGGCGCATGAAAAAATACTTCTATTTAAATTTCAACCTTTAGAATAATAGCTGTGCACATTACATTATACAAGATGCAGATCAGCCTACGAACTCTCACATCTCCAAGACAAGTGCGGGCGTCTTGCGAAAGTCCATACACAATTATGATATCACAGATTTTTGCATTTTTTTTCCCCCTGAGATGGCATGTACCGATGTAAATAAACAGCGTTGGTCTCCGATATGGTATCCCTGCGGTGGATTCGCAGGAGGGATAAAAGGTGACTAATGGAACCCCACAAAAATCCACCTTCGGATTGATCATCAGTCAAGGCGTCTAGGGGGACCCCGTAGTCATTGCAAAATTACCTTTCTCTCGTATCTCGTAGTCTTGGCTGTCAACGATCTCCATCGTAACACCTACAAACCCATTGTTCGTACGATGTCTCATAGTGAAACGATGAGTCGCTCTATGGACGCGTGGCACCCACCAATTCGGAGGTGTGCCAGTGACAATGCCAGCCCGAGGCTTGTTTACTCTTGAATTGACTAATCAGGGACTAACCAATCACCATAAATCTCTAGTGAAGGTAAAACCGTCGTTTCTCCACGTCTCGTTAACCCCTGAATCAATTAAAAATACCAATTACGTAGACATGCGACTATTTTTTGTATTGGCATAAATAAATACACCCGGAAACATGATTTGTTTGAATATTTTAATTATACACTAAAAATAGGTTATTTTAAGAAGTTGGGAGAATATTTATCGGAGTAATTCAATGAGCTTATGATAAATATTTCAGCTCACTGAATAGTTGTAAAAATACTGCTGAAAATGATACTTCTTATCAGTGTTCTTACTTACTTTTTAAAAATTTCATTGATACTTGCGAAAAGCATTATTTTTTCACTTTTTAGAAGTATATCCGTAATTTCGAAGTCTATACTTTACGAATTCCTATTTTGTAATTGTGACTGAAAATTTTAGGGATCGCTGCTTTCTCCTACTTCCAAATCTTAAAAAAAGGTCGAACAAATAAAGTTGAGTCGGTGAATGATCCAAAAACCTGAAAAAGAAAAATAAAATTTATCTTATCCTATTCGTGAATATTCATGTTCTACTGAAAATGGAATCAAGTTCTGAAACTCCGATATCACTGTCCCTGATAGCTCATGGAATTTACATAAAACTTGAATTTTCATAGCGATTTCCTTACATTTTCTACAAGAAATTCACATCATTTAAAATTTTTTTGAAGAATCCAAAAACTTCTGACATAGTGTAAATATACTTTTCAAAAGTTTTTCAGTTTACTGCTGGTAAGTATTCTTTGAAACTTATGAAAAATAAGATTTATATTTTTCAGAAGTTTTTATAAAATTTGGGGTAAACTATTTAATCACATTAATGTTCAGATTTCTTATAAAAAAGAAAAGTGTTGGGATGAAAATTTTCTGTTCATGTCCTTCAAGAGTAGTTTGTTGACTGGCCAGAAATCAGTAATTTTCAGAGTGTAATTGAATCCAAGAAGATAATGCATCCATTTCCTGCGGAAATCTATCAATAATAAAATATATTTCTGATTTGAATACAGAACATATTTCTACTATCTAAATAAAGTTATTTATCAGATTGAAATAAATTTTTTTTTCTGAATGCACCTGGTGTCGACGCAAGTCGTCTCAATCAGCTGGAAGGCGATGAAAAATACACCCAAGATGGTGAACACACAAGACTGGACACTAAACTCCAGAGTCTATGTAGTGGATGGGGAAAGGATGATGTTAATGAGCCCAGACTACCGGATTCCGTTGAGACTTGTCCCAGAGCTCATGGAAAACAGATTCTATCTAGCCGACCCTTTATTCCTCACTATAGAGACTCGAGGGCCGCGTATCATGCATAGAATTTCGAACAGATGAAAATTGAATGAATCATTCATTCCATCTTCCGTTCTTTCCAAGCGAAAAATAGCTCGAAATGTAGAAAAGGTTGGGAATTATAGAGATGGTAGAGTAATGCCGAGATTAATACCCAAGGGACTAGAGGGGATAGATAGATAGATAAGAAGAAACGGTGCCTCCCGCCTTATTTATGGTCCTATGAGGTGTGGCGTTTCGTATTATCAAAATCCATCGGCTTATCGTGCTTCCGTCCAACTGGACAACATCACCAGCGGCATACTCTCAAGTATTCATGGATAAATCCCAGATGAAGGTGGTCTTTTCCGCCGAAAATTCACATATTTCGTAAGTTTTTTATATTTTTCAGGTTTTTAATTAATTAAAGTTTCGTTTCCCCTGAATTTATCTGAAATTTGTCAATAGTGAAGGCCTCACCCATAAAATTGGTCGTAATTTCCTGTGCAGATCGAGTCTAATTCTTTCAGTTAAACCCGCCATTATTTTCCCCTGTATCCAACCATTTCATTTAATCCAATCCGTGAATTAACCGAGAGTGCAGTAACGTGTTATACATATATTTCGTTACCTTTACGAAATTCGGGGCCTTGAATCGCCCACGTGGACGAGTTTGGAAAGGTCCGTGTGGACCACCTCGACGAACAAAAATATATAAAACTCTGTACAGCAGGAGAGAGAGAGATACCGACATTTGTGCGCTAGTTTTTCAATCGAATATACTCATCCCTCACACGTTGCAGCCTCCGAAATAGTAAATGTATTTTAGTGCTACACGTGGGCACTACTATGTTTATTATCTATTCACAGGGGCACGCTTTCACATTCAATCATTGGTTTTTTTCTCGGCTGAAATGAAAAAAAAAAATGGTTTGTCAGATCGAGTGCACGTTTTCTATTGAAAAAAAAATGCCTAAATATTTGAAATGCTCGACCATGCGTGATAATTCGTGCTGTTATTTAGCGCCATTGAAATTTCATGGAATAATGAAAGTTTTCGTGAATAACTACGCGGGAAGTATTTTTTCATTGCTGAGAGAATTGACAAAAAAAAAGGGGAATGATAGTGGAAAAAAGCCTGTGAAATTGAATCGAAATTTGTTCCTGGGAAGACTGAAGAAAATTGCATCCACCTGTCACCACGTCTTGGCCTTTTGTGACTCTCGACGATATCCTAGTAAGGAATGGTAGCCGCAGGTAAAGGAAGAGGTCGATGACCTTCGATAGGAGACGAGTTATACCGCATGATTTTTCTGAGAGGGGGACTTTCATCTTGAATCGCTATAGTATCCTTCAGCTTTTGAAATCCCGGTGTTTTTCAAAATGGGGAAAGATCTCGGGGAGTAAAAGGAATCACCCCCATACGTCATACCCGTGGATTTTCCAGTAATATCTTTTCTGGATGCTCACACGTACCGATTGGCTATACGGGAGATTCCTTCCGCCTGCACTATGTCTTATTATGGGGGGATGCTATCTATACTGCATACTGATGGATATCGATCTCCTAAGGAAGTCGATCAGGCCGACCCAGAGAAACTTTCCACCCTGGAATCTTCCAGGAATTCTTCCAGTGGACATTCATTATCTCGAAAATCCCTAGAACCTGGAAGTTTCCAGGTAATTATTGCGGAAAAAATAATAAATAATCAGGTGATTTAGTGATTATTTGAAGCAATTGGAATTTTCATGACGATAAGGTAATGAGATTAATCCAAAAATATGATAATATTTTGCGCAGGTATTTCGCAATTAGCATAAAAACCTTAATTTCATTAAATTTTTATACCGACTAATAACTGCGATAAGGAGAAAATCGCGGGGAACTCGAAATGTCAATGGAATTATTCCGCCAAAAAGTGCGTCGAATTGAATCTCCAATTTATTTAAACTTGGGGACAAATTTTTGTCCATAACATGCGTGAAATATTATCACTGAACAATTTATGCACTCCTCATTCATTAATTGGGAATTAAGATATTTCCGAGAATATTTCAATATTTTAAATAGCGAGAGGCTCATTAAAATATATCCCAGTGACACCGAGCGCCTTAATTACCGCGAGCATCCTCGAAAATTAGCCGTTAGTCTGTGTACAAGCGTCACACAAATTGTTTTTTTGGTCGACGGAGCATGTCTCTTGATTATCGACGATCCTCGTAAGATGGTTTCGCAAGTTTGAGTCACCGAAAAAGGTGGCGAAACTCGAGAGAGTTTTAACGGTGATTCCCCGGGTCGTCTTGCCCTTATTGGTCACGAGTGCCGAGAGAACCGAGCAGTTGAATTTCTCCTCAAATCGGAATAGTGAATGAAGACTAGCTGATCGTCTTCATTCGCACGATCAATCATCATCACCACTGCAAGCGGATCTTATCTCCCATAACTAATTGCGTGACGATGAGCAGCGGTTGGACCTGCAAACTCGATAAATGTCGAGAGAATTAAACTCAAGTCAGACGGTTATCCATTTTAAAACACTCATATCCCAACCTAATGAGGAAATTAATAATCAATCTCTCGAGCGGCGTTTAATGTTCTTCTTGGTTTGTGTTGCAGGAAATAGTAAAGTCAGAGGAACAATGATGTGGATACGTGTCACTATGATGTTGAGTGCTTTGGCACTGACAGCGGCCACAGGGGACTTTCGTCACATCTCGTACGAAGGTAAGAAATGAGAAATGTTTTTTTTCAGTGTCCAGTAGTTTTATTTCATCATTACGGAGTTAGAAAGGGAAAATCAGCCAGCGAGTTTTTAATTGGTGGCATTTAATTTTCAATTCACTTTCTTTCGATAACCTCTCGATAATAATGACAGAATAATTAATTTTCAAAGTGATTTCTCTACATTACAATTAGACTAGCCCATCGTCCTCTATCAATCATCTCAGCTTTCTTCATCCACTGTACTTATTATCTACCACTTAAAACACGGAGAAACTGTGGATGCGCGGGTAGAAATAGTCGTCGATCAAATGTTGTCCAGCATGGGTTACCGTTGGCGTTCCACTTTGAAAAACAGGACCTGCCAGTTTTCTACAGCTACTACATCTTCTTTAAGCCTGGCCATTAGTTTTCATCATCATCTTTCGCGAGTGAATAAAAAAAATAACTGACCGCTCCCACGGAGTTCCACTCCCTCCATAGAAAATTCATAAATTGAACGATTTCGCTCATAATATTTATACTCATTTCGTTCAGATGAGAAGTATTACAGAATTATCCAATCAAATAATGTGAGTAAATACGTGAAAAGGTGAAATCACCTAAATCCCTCAGCTTTCTACAAATTGAGACATTGCAGATAAATCCACCCACTCTTCTAGATAATCAAAGAAAACATCGGGGTGCACTATAAAATTTATGGGAAAATTGGATTGAACACAGTGAAAGCACCTGAAGTTGGATTAAACTCATTTACTCGTGAAGTATCACTCCATTATATTTTACTTTCCTTCTCCAATGTGGCTAATTTATTTAATTAATTCCCTTGAATTACTATGAATTTTGATTGACCTGAAAAAATAAAATTCTCATTACTCTGGTTTTCCAAAGTTGCTGGTGATGAGCATTGCGATTGGAGAAAGCAGGCTTAAGATACTGCGCACATCGGCTATTTTTATTGGGAAGTTATCGAGTGGGCATTAACATATTGATGAAGATAATTCGATACCTATTGGTTTGCTCCATTATTCTTGGCCTTTGGCCGATCCTGCGACTAATCCCTGAAAGGCTCCCTCCAGTTTAGAGTATAATTTTATCGTACCAATGCAGAAAGGGATCTCGAGTTGTCCGTGACGTTGGTAACCGCGTCGATAGTCATCATTGGCAAACCCGACGGCTTTTCCCCGGGTCACGTTCATTCTTGTCCAGCTGTATTATCCTTGCGTTCTAAATCTAATGTTATTAAAAGCTGTCCCGAGAGCCGATCGTTTACGATATCATCGTAGAGAACCCGGGCGGTATTATTATCGCACGTCTCGAAATCGCCGAGGTCTACTTCCGTATTGGATATTCACCGCACTGCTTGATGATTAGGAGTTGTAAAAATCGAGGTTCACTAGAAAATAGGACAATTTATGCTGGGAGTGTGGATAAGAGTCTTGAATTTCTGCAATGAGACATTGATAGCGACGAAGCCATTATTCAAAGATCGATATACGAGATGAACGTGAAGACTGAATTTCAGAATTGCCGATATCTCCAGGCTCAACGATGGGATTTTGATGAGGCACATTTCATTTTGAAGATTACAACAAAAGCTTAAAAACCAATTGACAAATTATGAAATTCACTCTGCCAATCCAGCTTAGCTATCGTTGATTGAATCCGTCCGCTACTGGATTACTCAAATCCACGCTGATTCCTGTGGAATGCAATAATATCGATAATTCTTTCGTTATTGCCGCAATAATCTCGAGGCATTACTCAACAGGTGACACTCATAATAACATAATTACCGATATCTCGTCATTGGTATCGTTCTGTCACGCGTCACCGCCGGCAATCGCTCTCATCGTAATTGCATCCCAGAATTCGCAATCACCTTCACCTCAAAATAGACGCGACACTGGAATGTTAAACACTGGAATGATCCCATCGCCTATAAACCACCATTAATAACCCTGAAAAATTCAAATTCAAATAATCCCAGGGGCATATTGATGTATAAAGTACCGTTGAGCCATAATTCAACTTTAACGATTGTGCATGTCGATAAATTAGACAGACGCGTATAAAACCCGCGGGGACAAAAGGGACAAACCATAATGCTTGTATCCAAAAGCTACCGACCAGTTGTTTCCTTTAAAGATAAACACGACGAGTAACCGGGGCTTAGTGCTAACCGTTGTATATGGCCGGAATATACCCTACAACATACTCCGCATATGTAATCGCTCGGAAAAGTCGTTCTATCGCATCTCTACCTATGACTCCGCAACAGCACAAAAACCTTGTTCAGAATATTCATGACAGGTGGGATCCTACGACTCGTAAAATCATATTGACATCAAAGATGGCTACGGATCGCTCATTTATTGCAAATTAAACAGAAGCTTTTTTCCCTATTTTTCATTCAATGTTCCCAGAGTCTTCAACAATTTTTAATTTATAGCCTTCACTTACTGATTATTTTCATCCTGATCAAGATAATCTTTATATAATTGCATCTTTCGAAAGCATTACTAATCAAAAAGAAATTGTAATGATATGGAGAAATGGTGGCATGGAGAAATCACCAGATAAAAATAGGAAATTTATAATGTGATTTTCATCATTAGATGCGTTCTTCATTAACACCTCGAAGTTTTCTAAGTAATAGTATAATAGAGCACGTCATCTAATTTTCAATTTTTCTGAGTTATTATTCGTGTCAACAACTATCAAAAAGTCGCACTCAATTAGGTATATACATTGAGGGGGTAGACCGGCCCACGTCGACCTGGGGTTCATACCAGTCGCATCCCCGTCGCGAACCCTGGCTCGTGCTAAGTGCTGGTGAGGCTCGAAACTTTTTGTGAAAAAGTGCTTCACCATGCATCGAATTTTTGTAAATATCTCATAATATTGTATAGTTAATTATAAATTAACTGCTTTTTGAAGGAAAAACGAAGTAGGGGGCCTGTACATCTACATGAGCATCCACCAAAACAAGCGAGATGACTCCAAGAGGTTAAATTCATTAATAGTTGCTCAGTTCGGACACTTAGGATGTCTATTTATTGTAGGACATACCTCAAATTAAAAAAAAATCATGGAATAAGTTGGAAATGGAAGTAGCTCTAATATATTTTTACCAAAAATCGTCCTTCATTCCCCTATGGAAATCTCGTCTTGGCGTACTTCAGCAAAATTATGGTTTTTGAGCGCCCATTGAAAAAAAAACAATTAATTGATTGTCCACTATCCCCTATGTAACAGTGAAATTTAAAGAATTGAAAAGTCGAACTTGTTGTATTTATTATATGGTTATTGCAATAGTTGTTTTATTTCTTAAAATTGGCCGATGGGTTGGCAAATATGATTTTAGAAAATTTTAATTTTTTCCATAAGCCCTAAACGAATATTGGATGTCAGGAGAGAAACAGTTTAGACAGAGTATGTATTTATATAGTACTTGACTGCGAACATACCAATTTAGGATTCTGAGAACCAAAAGATGCAAGATGGCTGAATAACTTGGAATGTCTCATATTAAGGGTATTACGAAATGCAGATTACAATCATTGATTCCAAACCAATACGAATCAAAAAGGAATACAAATGGAGGAGATATTTTTGTAAACCAAGCAGTTGATGTAAATATTCGGTTTACTACAGACCACATATTGAAAATTGATTGGAAAAAGCGTTGTGTACTTGAATAGCTCTTCCAAAAGAACGTATGTCAAGTGGGAGTGGCAGCATATAGCACGCACGTGAACGAGACCGAGAGGCGCTCGACACATGGCTGTAAATCTCGTGGTCCTGTCGTAAATCAAGTGCATATTTTCCGCACGTTCGAGGTATTATGGGGATTCCTCGAAAGCTTCCCAATACGCCTTTGTATCGGGATTCTTGGGGCCTGGCTAGGTCAAGACTACAGGCGTGACGAACCGCGCGTCTTCGAGTGTCCAAGAATTTCTCACCGCCCTCTCTGCACTCCGCTGATGAGGAGTTCTCCAAATTGCCATTACATAGAGAGAGAATTGTCTCCGAATTCTCTGTTAACTGCCGGAGATGGGGGCTTTCCGAGGACTAGTTGAACCCGATGAGAGAATTGAGAGTGTACGTGGGCACAGGGACGGCACGCGCCTCTTACATCCCGATTGGGTAGCGAATAGTCTCGGGAGGACAACCCACGTTCACCACACCGTGGTCGAACATATATGTATATATAGCCGTCTGCACGTATAAATTTCACTTACTGCTTATATTTTCACTCATCCTTTTTTCTTATTATCGTCTCCACCTCCGTGTGCACTATGCACGTGGCACAACGGGCGGTATAATATACCACAAGCCCCATCCTGATGAATATTCATATTTATGTGATGTGATGCTGAGGTATTATTTTCATCCAGGATTTTCTAGATATCAATTTTATACGTGGGGCATTCAGTGAAATCCCCGGACCTTTTGTAGATGATCGAGTTGTCATCACGTGAAAATACAATTGGTAGAATATACTCGCAGAAAAGTTCGTCTTTTTAAAAAATCCAGTGGTAACGAAAGGTGTTGATTGCTCTCACCGTATAGTTTAGCAAATTTACCTTATGCAAATAACTTTTTGTTTATGGTAATATATAGAATACATTCTTTTTTTAATTTAGTTTTTCAGAAGTTAAATGTTATTAAATGAATTCAATGCATAAGTTGTGTATTTTCATTATCACCAACGAAAAAGCATAAATAATGAATATATATTGAATATATATTGAATATATTTACTGCGGGTATCCCCATTTGATGATTATAAATGCTTTAGCACTCGGTTGAGATTTCAAGTGAAAAACTTTGAAATTTTTGGGAAATAAATAAGAATATCCCTTTTTAATTTCATAACGGGCAATCGTTATATTTAAAATTGAAATAAATTGAGATAAGCTCGTACGTGAATATTTATACATTATGGTATGATAACTAATAGGTGGAATAACCACTTAACTGAATTTTCTACACGCGTG